TTAAATTGCACTTTAAACAGAGAGTGAGGGGAAGGAAAGACAATCTGTGGAGAGTTAGGCAATAGGCCGCATTACCACATTGCCGTGTCCTAAAGATAGATCTATCTTCGTGGCACGGCGCGACAGGCAATAATGCGACATATTGTGAACCCAGCCTAACTGTGGAATAAACTTCTCGTACTTTAAGCAAGCAGGCAGAATGAAGGGCAAGCCAATCACTCATTCTAAATACCTTGAGTATAGCTGGAGTGTGCAGTGCAACCACGACCTAAACCTTTCGTACTTTGAGAAAGCAAGCAGGGTGAAGGAAAGATCAACCAATAGTGGTAACAATCTTGAGTATAGCTGGAGTGTGCAGTGCAACCACGACCTAAACCTTTCGTACTTTGAGAAAGCAAGCAGGGTGAAGGAAAGATCAACCAATAGTGGTAACAATCTTGAGTATAGCTGGAGTGTGCAGTGCAACCACGACCTAAACCTTTCGTACTTTTGAGAAAGCAAGCAGGGTGAAGGAAAGATCAACCAATAGTGGTAACATCTTGACTATAGCTGGAGTGTGCAGTGCAACCACGACCTAAACCTTTCGTACTTTGAGAAAGCAAGCAGGGTGAAGGAAAGATCAACCAATAGTGGTAACAATCTTGAGTATAGCTGGAGTGTGCAGTGCAACCACGACCTAAACCTTTCGTACTTTGAGAAAGCAAGCAGGGTGAAGGAAAGATCAACCAATAGTGGTAACCATCTTGACTATAGCTGGAGTGTGCAGTGCACTAGTAAAGTTACTGGAATTAGGTTGCCAAAACATTCGGCAACAAGTGCGTGAAGGACAGGGCAACCAGCCATCCTGACAACTCCCTTCATTATAAGGGAATGTAGCAGCAAATAAGGGCTGTAGATTGAGAAACTGTTACTGAAAACAAACATTTAACTGCATTCTTGCATTAGATAGTAAATTTAGCCCTTACATGCTGCCCACATTCCCGTTAATGTGGCGGTCAGTCAAACCCCGTGACACCAGATACACACACAGTGGACCAACTCACTAGAGACGAGGGACCTGTATGACCCAGCGGACGTTCTTGCAGAAGACCTGGTGGGTGACGGCCCAGTTGGCCAGTTTGTCCCACTCCTCTAGAGAGCGCCCGTACACAGAGATACGCAGTTCTGCCATCTGGTACTTGCTCTCCACCATTTCCGCCATCACCTCCTGCAACACAGCACACCACATTCTTTGTCTGACACACTAACACAATGAAAAGCACTAAAGTACAAATCCTCGGCGAACTGCGCATGCGCAGTACCGCTAATTGATGGGCTGGGCTATTAGTAGTATGCGTTTACTTGTGGTCTCCCGCTAGTAGCTCGCGGAGAGTCTGACACGGGCTAGCTACAGCAGTACAGTTTTAAAATCAAGCAAGTGTAGCACTGAACCAGTTGGTGTGCCTTTTTGGCCGGTTTGTTGCATGTGGTGGCAGAAAACGTGGTAACAGACACACACACACACAGACAGACACACAGACCAAGTACTGTAACCCTCGCTGCGCATGCATGCCGAGGGTTAAATACTGAACTGTGATTCTGGCAAGTCAGCACAACTCGCTGGTGGGAGCCATCAACGCAAAGGGAGAATTCGTCTATAGTATCGTCTCCATGAAACCTTTTTGCTCAATACTAATGCAGTAGCCCAAGGAAACAACACAAGAAAATCAGATGACTAAAGCCTTGGGAGTGTAGAGAGACGTGTCATTATTTAGTAGTTGTTTTCTGCATTAACCTTTATGAGGTCGGCATAGTAGCATCCTCCCATGTCGTTGTCTACCTTCAGAAAGACCTCCCTCAGTCTGCTCTCGCCTGTGGTGAGATGAGAGAGAGAGAGAGAGGGACTCTGTAATACGGATCACTGCCAAACTTTGTATATACGTCTGTACCTATTGGATTGTATTTGGAGTTGAACTTGTCAAAGCGATGAAAAGTGTTGCGGTCCTTTAGAACAACAAGAGCAAAAGACATTAGTAACTGCTGTACACGATGGTATTGCTAACTGAGAGTTGTGTCTGTGTCTATAATACAAGACGCTAATCGGCAAACATGTATACAAATCAACAGATGAGCATTGACTAATACAGTCTGACTTGTGACTATCCAGACACATTAGAAGGCTGTACATGTGACTAATGAGCTAGCACACGTAGAGTGTTGTATGTAAGACATGTGTAGTGAAGTCTCTCACAGCATGCACGTCCAGTAGGTCTACTGTCAGGTCGTAGGCCCTCAGGTCCAGCTTCTCAAACAACTGCCCGACAGAGAGAAAGGGAGAGAGGGAGATTGAAGGAGAGAGATGCAGTGAAATGGCAGATGGGCAGAAATTGACAAACCCAGCTCTAGCCTTGCATCATTTATATCCTCTAGTGTACCAAACTTCTGACTTTTTGGAAATGTAAGATTGGTCTGCGAAAGTATTCTCAAAGTTTTGTGGGCCAAACAATGAAAATGGCATGTTGCTTTGCAAGTCAGCATAATTGGCGAGCGGGAGCGAGCTAACCTAGTGGTACGAAAGGCGCGGAATTTTCCTCATATATATATATATATAATTATCTACGACCGTACGTCGTCAAACTGCGCATGCTCCAGGATTACGCGCTTTTTTTATCCGAAAGGATTTCAAATTTTCACATGCTGCCTGCCTGCGATGGATGTATACATGTGCATAATAGTCCCGGGAAGATGCCCTTCGTCGTCGAAGAGAGAGGTAAAGAGAACATCGTGTCCGTGAGACTCCTGAGCAGAGAGGCTCGTTTGTATCGACGTCGCTTTCGTGATAGGGAACGCGCAAATTTTTACACGCTGCCCTAGCTGTCATATCGATGCGAAATAATAGTCAGCCAAAGAACTCTCGTCTATTTGCTGGCATTCGCTGCGCTCTTCGATACCTGACCGAGGCTGTCTATACCTCCTTCCAATCTTCGTGATTCTAAGGTGCAAGTTGTAGGATGGCTCGTGCAGATAGAGTCATTGTGTGCTTGCTCCCGCTCGCCAAAAATGCCATGCATTCGCCTACTAGTTATATAGGCATCTATTTCTGAGTGCTCCTGCGCAATGTTTAATGCATGGAACAAGTACATATGTATAATAACCCTGCTATTGAAGACATATTATTATAATGTAGTACACGAGTACGCATGCTGAGCATGAGAGTCAGAGAGTGCCCCTGCAATAAAAGGCTAATAGCGGGAACTCCTTAACCCACACTAGTGGAAACCATGAGTGCCCTGGCAATAATAATGGTCAGGTGGTATTGACTCACTCCAGCCAGAGTGAGTCTCTCTCCTCCACGGATGATGACCACATCGTCCGGATGGTTCTTGATCTTTGACTTTATGAACCTCAGGAGGTGTTTCTGGTTCATGCACGAGGAGGCATGGACGTGGGTGTCCACCTGGAGCATCACGTATTGCCAGAAGAGAGAAGGATGAGGGGAGAAGAGGGAGGGAAAGGGAGAGATCAGTGAAGAGGAGAAGAGGGTTAGAGAAGGGAGAGGGGAGAGAGGGAAAGAGGCTAAATTAATAGCTTGAAAGAAAGACAACCATGAAAAATGAATAGCTCTCTATTCAATCTGAGGAGTAGTATTTGAGAAGAAACTACTTCCAGCACTGTGACAAAAGAGGGGCTCCTGGACAGGTGTCAGTGGGACTCACCTTTCTCACGTTGTAGAAGTCTCGATGGGGCACAATTTTCTGTGCCTTCAGCTCCTTGTGTTCATTGAGCATTCGTGGAGGTTGAACCGAGACTCCAGATAGCACAGTCGCCGGAACGTGTACGACTTCCTGTGGTACCACACACACAGGGAGAGAGGGAGAGAGAGGGAGAGAGAGGGGGGGGAGGGGTGGTGTATACATGGATAGAGTGATATACATGACATACGCCACATAATCAGAGAAGGCCTGGGATCTAAGGAGACCTGGGTTCTGGGTTCTCCACAACTCCCAAGAGAAAACGGCATTCATGGACTCTACGATGAAGGACTCACACAGGGCCATGGGCTGAGAGGACCTTCAGTGCATTGAGGTGGTCCACAAACTCAGTCCTCAGGTCAGTCATGAAGTCGTGGGAGCTGAGAGGATCGTCTTCCATTACTGCCAGCTCCTCCTCTGACATCTTGGACTGAACACATACACATACTGACTGAATGCATATTTTTGGACATACGAATACCCACCCAGGGCAGCTCTTCTTTTCTTTGAAAAGAAAGAGCTGTCCTGGGTGTAGTTGACTTGTTTGCCTTGCCTTGCCTTTCTACCTAGCTACCAAGTTGTTGAGACGTACAGTAGTACACACACATACAGTAGTACTGACAACTTGAGCATACTGGACTGACAGTTACATGCACCACACACACAACACTGCAGACTGTAGTGCGCCTTCTTGTGATCCCACTCCTCCATACAAACAGTACCGACTCCACACAAGCAGCACTTCCTCATTACTCTAATCAGTTCCTTAATTATCGAAATTACTCATCCTTCCAAAATTGCACTGTTCTGAGAAGTACTTATGACTCTTGTAAAGCTGGAAACCACAGTGATGATGTACAGCTTCCTACATATAAGTGAATGTATATACCCTTCGCCTGTGTATTACCACTTCATGTGTACTAAGTAACCAGCCAGACAGAGAGAAGCTTAAGCTGACACAGAAAAAAGGGGAGGGAGAGGCAAAGTGGGAGAGGCTACACGAAGAAGGAAGATAAAGTGGTAGAGGAGAAGGGAGGGGGGAGGAGGGATCTTACCTCCTCCACATCACCGGTAAGTTTGGCCACACCGTCCACCATCTCAACAGAGAACCTCAGCTCAAAGCCGGAGGAGGTGGGAGCAGTGAAGGCTCCAGGGGTGATCTCTCTCGGTCGAATCTCAGCTTCAGTACACATACACCACAGCACAAGGTTTGCATTATAAGTGAGCCTGTCTGAATTGCCTTATTTCCGTATGATGTAACAACCAACTGTGCGGCACGCCAATGCGCTTGCGGGAACATTGCGCACAGCTGTTTAAAAGTCACTTCACTTCAAGTTAAGGGGTCTTAGTAGTTGGAACAAGTTAGGTTTTGCAAACTAGAGCAAGCCAAAATCCTGTCCACGGACGATATCAATCTGACTGCTACCAATCAACACAGGGTTTCATGTTTAATGCAGTGCGCTGTGTGTAGCCATAAGCTACTGCCTCACTGGAAAGAATGTCCCCGGCTGGCGTGAACTTTGCCCCCGACAGCACGTCGGGGACGCAGAAGGTGGAGCTGGGTGGGAGCTTCTTGTCGAGCATGTTGGCCGTCGTCCGACAGAACTCCTGCAGACTCAGGTCCATGTACTTACGACGCAGCTCCAGTGCCGTCTTCAGCAGCTGACGGACCTCCTTGAAGATGGTTTCCGAAACCTACATTTTATAGAACACCGTTTCTGAAACCTACGTTTCTGAGACTATGTTATAAGAACACTGTTTCTGAGACCTATATTATATAGAAAACTGCTTCTGAGACCTATGTTATGTAGGACCTATATTATTGCCGAGCGCGTTAGCGTGAGGCAACTACTCCGGGTTGTATTCTCGCGATATGCGTGTACGTACGTACGTGTCGTCACGCTTAAGAATGTCAATTAGTCACGCTTAGGAATGTCAACCTCCGTCATTCGTAGGAAGTCTAGCTTCCGCCGTGCGCGCAGATTCGTAGGAAGTCTGGCTTCACACGCAGTCAGTAGAGCGTGCGCACGAGCGGCCTCAGTCGGACTGTTTACACATTGGCTGGCAGGCGCGAGGCAAAATATGCACGTGCGCATTCTCAGTTATATTATGACTCTGTAAGACCGACTTACTCCTGCAATGTCCACATGCTCTGTAGTTTCCACAGGTGTCTTCTTTATCATGACACGATTGAATGGCACTCTCAAGCACACACCTGCACAACAGACATACATACATAGATGTACAGACACCATAGCTAAAAGACTGTATGTGTGTGTATGTATGATATAGAGTGATGGCCAACAGATGGTTAGAAGAAGTGCCTAAGAAAAAGGATGCACTCAGGCTGAGGTATAATTGACACATCCTAGTGCTACGGGATATACATACACAAACATAAGGCTAGGTTGAGTGGTGCCAACAGTACCACTGGCAAGAGTGCATGATAGAGCGTGGAGGAAAAAGAGCATTTGATTAGGGGATGGGCAGATTAACATTAGGTACACAAGTGAAAGCACGAGAAACACATGTAGCAACTGGAAGTAGCTATAATATTTAGCATTATTCCAGCCGTTGTATGGGCGTCTATTGGAATTACACACTCATTATACCCTCTCTGACACATGCTATGGCAGTGAGACCCAGTGTTTCCACAGCTGACACTGGGCTGTTGCTATAACCAGTCACATGTTATGAAGCCTATAGTAGTGAGGTTGAGTGTGGTTAGTATCAGGCTGACCTGCGGAGAGCAAGGTGGTCTCGGCCCGACAGAAATCATCCTCCAGTTTGGTCTCCTCTCTGTAGATGACCTTCTTCTCCACATCAGACAGACCCACGTCCACCTCGCGTCGGTCGCCGCTGAACTCAAACTGAGCATTCATTGAACTGGGGTCTGGGGAGAGGGGTGAGGGGGAGGGGTGGAATGGGGGAGAGGTGAAAGGGGAGAGTGGAAGAGGTAAGAGAGAGGGAAGGATTAGGAGGTGATATGGGAAAGGGGAGGGGAGAAAGAAAGGGAAGAGGGGGAGAGAGAGAGAGAAGTGAGAATAAAGTGGGAGGAAGAGCGAGAGGAAAAAAGAGGAGAGAGGGGGAAATAGCAAAAAGACAGAGAGAGAGAGAGGAGAGAAGCAGGAAGTAAGTACAAAACATTGAGCTAGAGTGTGGAAAAGAGGAGAGAAAGGGAAAAGTGAACAAAAGTTCACGCAGCAGCACTGATCATGTGCTTGTATGGGGTGTGACCACGTACACACGGAACAAGGTGGTGCAATTGACCTCCTATGTTAGTTCACACGTGGCTACAGCAAATCATATGGCTACCTACCATGAGTATAGACTCCAGAGGAGGCTGTCTTGTCCAGCACTTCTTCGATATCCTGAGGATGGATCTCATTCTCCTCTGCACATGGGAGGCACATTGTGCACGTGTTTTTATAGCCAAGTATAGTACATGCACACATTATGTGAGAATACACATACACATACATATACATAGAGCAGGTGTGCATGCACGTTGTAAGTGTTGCGAACATGCAGACTGTTAAGTGAGGTGGACATTTTATAAGGTAATCGTGTACAATGGAACTGAACTTATGGCATGTAATAAACACATAATAACATTCTTCAGGAGTTTAGAAACCCCCTACACTACAAAGCAGGAAGTAATTGACGGGTTTTTCTTAAAAAACACAACACTTCATTGCAAAAAGGATCCAACAGGACAAGCAATCAGTGAAAGGGTTCTCCTGTTTTCCATTTGAAGAGGTCTCCCGGCTATACTGGAAAGCACCCCTCACCAATCTCCATCAGAGGAGAGCTGGAGAGAGGGGAGTGGGGCAACTTGGGGGAGGTCACGTCTCCACCGGCACCGTTCTCTCTCAGATACATCAGCTGGAGCTTCTTGGCAAAGTCCTCAAACACCTGCGTAGACATCCTGCATCAAGGGGAGGAGAGAGAGAGAGAGAGAGAAGAGAGAGAGAGAGGAGAGATGGGGAAGGTATAAGAGGAGAGAGCAGGGATGAGATATGTGTAATGGGGAAGGAAAGGAAGAGGAGAGGGGAGCCAGCAATGAGCTGGTCAGGAAATAAGCAGATGCAGCTTCTTCTTCAAAGCAAGAATTCTCTCACAGTCACAGAGAGCAGAGGAAGAAACCTTTGGGCTTCTGTTTCAAGAACAGCGTAGGTACAACCTTATTCTTTACACGGAGCAGAAACCCACACAAAGTGGAATTGGAAAGGTCCACATGCTATTATATACAGCTCCGATTATCCAGCTCCGATTATCCAGGGGCAATGTAGATAGGCCACATGGTTTGTTGAGGGTGCATGCAATGGTGGTGTAGTAAACCAGCATGCCCAGCTAGTTATGATTGAGTACTCGTTATCATTGCACGCTTGGTGATTTGTAGGTTGGCTAATCATGGCTGTGTGTATTCAGTTGCTGTGTGTTGTTGCGCACGGAACTCTGCTTATATTAAGCTCTGCAGATGGATCCACTGTCTTTCACTGACTTTCTAACTGATTAGTTGCATAGATTAGTGACTCACTTGTCCAGTCTCCGTACCGGTCTGGGAGAGCGCGTCGTGGGAGACATTGAAGAGGAACGACCTAGCGGCACTTTGGTGGTGGCCATCTCTTCCACCATGCGGACGGTTTTAGCTAGGACTCCGGACTATAGTATGCTGCGATCCAGGGCTGGCACACTTGCATGGGTTGAAAAATTCTAATCAGGACCTGCCAGAAGAGGAGACAATCACGCTGGTACCGATATTCATCCAACGTAGCAGCAAGAAAGACCTTATACTGCTTCTAGCTAGCTGCGCTGGCCCTCAAAGTAGGTGCAGATCGTGTGCGCATGCGTGCGGTGGCTACGTGAGTAGGTGGGCGGGGCCGGGGAAACTAGAGCATGGGCACCTTCGGAAAGGTGGTGGCTTTGAGTGGCGGTGCATTGGGAGGGATGGGACTCGGGTTCTACCTGAAGGAGTTCTACTACTTGAAACAGAACAAGGAGAGGAGAGACGAGCTGGTGGCAGAGCTGCAGAGACTCAGAGAACTTCGCAAGAACAAGGAGCAGAAGCTGAAAAGGTCTTGATGCCCCAAACACTAGTATATAGAACTGTGTGATCACCTTCATCTCCACCTTTAGTTTATTGTCCACTGTACAATCTATGTTAATGATCTAGGCAATCTTGCTCCTTACAAATTCCGTTATGTGCCTTTCGCCAAGACGTTTGAACTCCTTCCTTACACAAAACAGCCAATCCAACAAAATTTTAAGGTTAATTCACTGATGTTGAATGCAGAACACGAACAGAAGAATAAATGCAACAGTGCAAAAGAAAGTGATACATAACACTGTATTACAATTCAACAGAGTGTAAGAAGTGACCAGCACAAAACAAAATTATGTAGTAACGACATGACCGACGAAGAAGGCTGAAATGATAATGAGCTGTGAGGGAAAGCGGGACAGGGACGGTTCACCAGAAGTCAATGTCGGGCAGTTTGTCAGGCAGGTCCAGCTCCTCTCTACTGTATGGCACGCCACAGTCTATGGGGGAAACTGTGGGAAAAACTTTGGTGGTTGGTTGGCTTTTCGTGGAGTTAGAACTAGTTTTTTTATGCTAAACTTTGGAGGAAATGCATTACCACTCAAAACACACACTATATCCACAAGACAACAGGTTCTTACATGCATTTCATCGTGTTGCTGCCGAAAACATGTATGTATGTATGTATGTACCTACCTGGTCTGAGAGTAACATCATCAGAGGAGAGGACAATGTCAGGGGAGAGTGGGAAGGGCCCCAGAATGGGGGCAGGATCAGAGGCTGTCTCACTGCAGCTGACACTCCTCTGAAGTAGGCCGGAGGAACAAACATCCCTATGTCCACTGGAGGGGAGTCATTAGTCCACAATAGTCTCAAGCCAGATGCATGGACTGTATTACATGTATCCTTGTGCACACGTTACCGACTAATATGTATATACGGTACACAGATTTTTGCAGTCTCTAGAAGCAACGCTCATGTGAATGTGATGTCAACTGTACAATGAGTATATATACATGTGTTGTGTGCAACCCCACATGTACAAGGATACAGGTAAGACGTTCATTAGACCCAAACACCAAAATGTTCCCCCAAGGACTGCCGAAGTGCTGATCACAACAGCTCCTTGCAATAAGGCAACCCATGGATAAAACTGCCATGCAAACTGTGGCTGCTGGTTGTCTCACACTCATCTGGTTCCTGTTGTCTCCTGGACATGGTCTCGATCTCAGGAAACTCCTCCATCTCCTCATTCTTGGCTGCAGGAGCAGATACAGCAGTCACTGGTCTCACAGGCGTAGGACCACTCTGCTTTCTCCTCTCAACATTACGAACACTCTTCTTTCCTGGTTTTCCTGAACTGTGGAGCAGTGGAAAGAAGTTAACTGTTGAACATTGTACACACATGTTTCCTCAACATTGATAATGGGTAACATTTTGAGAGCTACCTATCCATATTGGGTAGAGGGGGGTAGGGGTAAGCACCCTGCAACAGTCTTACTGTACATTTTTACAAAAAAACCTGAGATTTCAGCTTTGCGGAAGGTGTGAGATGAGGACTCACCCTTGGCCCTTGCCAGCAGGAGTAGGCTTGGTGTTATGGTCAATGAGAGCCAGAGGCTTCCTTGGAGTGGCTTGTGGTCCTCCAACTGACTTCCCAGGATGACTCGGAGTCGGGTTCTCTGCAGCACAGACACACCAGTGAGAGGTGTACAGACTAGACAGTGCCAATAGTTACTTACCTAGCTGCTGGCCGAGGATGTTTCGGTGTTTGGCCTTGCTCGCCGTTCTTCCCCTGTTTTCGCTGTTTCCACGGCCCCGAGGAGGAAGCGCGATAGATGTAGGTATCGCTGCCACAGACATGGTTGAGCTCTGACAGTTTAGAAGTAGTGGTGAGTAAGCAGGAGGATGGGCAACACAAACACGTCGATCGACCGCCCAATTTGAATCTCTCGGACTGCGCATGCGCATATACCCACGCGCGCTGGTTCGATCGATCGTCGTCGTCGCGTCGTAGGTGAGAGGTTATTTTCCATTTAGAGCGCACTGCTTTTGCTCCACGAGGAAAGATGAGCACCAAAGCACACCCTCCCGAGCTCAAAAAGTAAGCAATTCAACCATACTACTTCTTACAAAGTTGCTGAAATTTTATATTCACTTAGATACATGGACAAAAGACTGCAATGTAAGTCTACCTCATTCCTCTGGTGAGTTTTAGAGGTTTATAAATGCACGCAGTGAAGCTGAACGGTGGGAGGTGTGTGTCTGGGGTTCTGAGAGGGTTTGACCCCTACATGAACCTGGTTCTGGATGAATGTGTGGAGGAGAGGTCTGCCACTCAGAAATACAAGATTGGCATGGTGGTACGTACTATTATAATGGCCACACTCCCTTGGGATACCATATGCAACTTCTTTCGCTGGTACATATTTTGCAAATTGCAGCTTCTCATGAGTGTGGTTCAGATATCATTTACATTCAGTGCAAAGTCAGACCACCACACACTATAACTCACCCCACATTGTGAGACCAACTTGGTAGCTGGTAATGTAGTGCAATTGCAGAGGCTCTGTGTGACAAATGAAACCACAAGGTGAAAGTGATGATTAAAACATTAGACAGTGTGGATGCAGTGGTGATTGTCGAAGGTCTGTGCACGAAGATGGTCATGTGTTGTGCTTCTCTAATGAAGCTATACATGCATACAGAAGACATGCCTTCCAGTTTCTCTCTTGGGACGTAATTCTGCATTGTTAGATGGCTATTTGGGTGGCTGGCACTGGCATTCCTCAGGACTGGTGCAGTTTCCCCACTTTTGGGAGATTTACTAATTGTAAATGCTCTTCTGTCCAGCACTCCCGTGACCCACCCACATCTCCTTACTGCCTGGTGTTATACCTTTCCTGTGAAGGTGGCCGACCATGACTCATGATGGTAGCGATGGCCAAACACCATCAATTAATCGGGGAGTCCCTGCCAGTATATGTTCATTGATTCCCAAGTGAAGGGTCACAAAAAGTTTTTAAAAACACTGCAGCAGTTTTCAAAACCGTGAAAGGTCACCTGACTACTACTGGCACTGAGGTTAGGGTAGGCTCTGCATTCATTATTTATTGGTGACCGTACCACACAGGCTAGCGCTACACAAAAGTCACACAGGTGGTTCGAAGGTCAATCAGATTTCACATTTTCATTAGCCTCACAACTTGGGATAACACCAGTTCAAACTAACCTACGACACGGCTGATGGTTGTGTGTTTGTGCATTTGTATCAGTGACAGGCCAGGCCATTGATGCTACTCAAAATGTGACCAATGACCTGCGAACAGCTGAATGGAGCCTACGCTGCGCCAAATGTGTGGGAGCAATCCTAGTTGAGGGATAACCTCTTCCGACAGAGCTTTCATCTTCACCCGCCATTCAGCACCTGTTTGTGCTACTGGGGAGAGACTGTGTGTGCAGTGAGCTACTGGAATACTGTCGTAGTTGTCTGAACTGCACGGTTCACACGGTGCCTGCTCATGTGGTGCCTTCTCGGGTATACCTAGACAACTTTGGCGAGCAAGCACAATCACTACAAAGATGTTCACTGACAGTACTTGGTCAGTGGGGCAGTAACTGTGCTATCCATGAAAGAGTTGAATGGCCGTGTATATGTAGTAGGAAACGTTTGAGAAGAGAAATTTCACATATTTTGTACATCTTTTCTTCAGAATGTTTTGCCCATGCTTTTTGTAATGCGGGAACAACTTACGTACATGTATAGCTGCGGAATGACATATGTATACCTCTAACCTTCCCCTGACTCACCCTCATAGAGCTATAGTAAGTAGCAAGAAAAACTCATCAGCTCGAAAAGAACCTTTCACTCTCTCCGCTCTCGCCACTTCGTTATTTTTAAGGGGAGGTGAACGAGTCTACTCCCAGTAATTAGACTCTTGTATGAACTACACTAAGCAAACAATGCTCTTCCCAATTCACTGTGGGGTGTTGTTGTTTAAACAAGTGGTTCAGATTTCCGCTACTAGCATCTTTGTTTTGTATACATGGCATGTTTTTCGTTCTCTAAAAACCAACCCACCCAAAAAGTTTAAGTGGTATATTTTTTCTGCTGTGCCTAGGTGGTTTTTTTTTCTTTCCGTTCAGGTCATCAGAGGAAACAGCATAATTCTTTTGGAGGCACTTGAGAGAATATTCTAGTGCGTGTGTATACAATTGACTCAAAACTCTACATCTTTACACTGTTTACACTTGATTATTCTCCCTGCTGTTTGGCAGTCTCATTTTGCTCTTTCTTGACCACTTCACGGTGCATTTCACTTCATGCGCTATAAATAGCACTTATACTTAGCTAGAGCATATTACTCCCTCGGGGAAATAATACGGGTATGCAAGGAATTTTCTCCCATAAGTAAGCGATACTCTCCGCATTCGATTCTGCATGCAGATATAATACAGACTGTGACGGTCCTCCAAACGGAAGACGAAACTACAGCTATAGCTAATATACAGCGGCGATGTCGAGTGCAGCGGAGAGCGGGGAGGCGACGGACGGCGTGCTGGAGGAGCTGGTATGCGAGCTGTGTCTGGGCGTCGTCCTCGAACCCAAGAGACTCGACTGCGCCCACTCGTTCTGCCGGGCCTGCCTCCAGCGACAGCTGAGCTCTAAGCGGCGCGGGGTCCTCCCTCGGATCCCCAGCGACAGCAGCCTTGTCTACGAGATATCTGGAGGAGGAAGCAACGGAGCCAACGCGAGCACCTCCTCCAGCGGCAGTGAGTCTGCGGAACCGCCTCGAGCGGCGGGGAGCGAAGTCGTGTACTCCTGTCCGACGTGCGGAGAGACTACCAACGTTTCCAGTGGAGACGCGGAGAAACTGAGCACGAGCACCGCTCTCAACAGAATGCTAGAGGCGAACGCCGCGGGGTGGACAGACACCAATCGAGAAGAGATCCGACTCCTCATCCGTCGCCGGAGGACCTCCTCCGTAGACCTGAACAACGGAGCATTGCCGCCCAGGGAGCTGTCCATGTGCTCGGAGCACAGCAGCGCCCAGGAGTTCTACTGCGTCGAATGCAAGACGCTGGTGTGCGGTCACTGCATGCTCTCTGGGCACAAGTCCCACATTGACCAGGTGCGGAGCGCCCAGGAGGCCGAAGACAGGATGGCTGCGGGGCTCCGAGCCTTGATGCAGCCGAGCTGCGAGGCCGTGTTCACCGCGAGCGAGGTCACGGGCCACATAAGCGAGCTGAAGAAGGTGGTAGTGAACGAGACGACAGCGTCCAGTAATCACATCAGGCAGTTCTTCAAGCAGGCAAGGGAGTTGTTGGAGGAGAGGGAGAAGGAGCTGGTAGACAGAGTGGAGGCCGAGAGCATGAAGGCCATTGCAGACCTCACCAAGAAAGACGAGGTGGTGCGACGGAATGTGGGGCTGCTGTCACGCTACGTGGACCAAGTGCGAGCCTCTCTGCAGCAGCCAGGGGACGTGGCCCTGCTTACCAGCACCCATGGACTGATATCCACCCTCCAGTTCATCCACAAGCAGATCCACGACGTGTCCACACAACTTGCACAAGTGGAGAGGCCACTCAGCGTTACATTTGAAGGAACGTCCATCGATTTCAACGACCTCGGCAGTCTGTCTGAAGAAACTGAGAACATTAGCGAAAGTGGCTACGTTTTGATCAAAGGGGTAACCCCTATACAATCTCCCTCGCCTCCCGACAGAAGCGCTCACCACAACAGTCAGTTGACGCTGGAGTCCATAAAGGAAAGGACACAGAGCGGCGTGACCGAGGACGACAGCCCCATCTATGAAGAGCCATTTGCAACAGCCTCTTTCAGGCGCCATGACCGAAAGGTACCGCCACAAATGTATCTCACTCGCCGCTCAGCAGGGAGCACAAGGAGGATGGTCAAGGTCAAGTTGAAGCACATCATTTCATGTGACGAGCAGTCCAGCAACATGAAGCCTTGTGGCATTGCCGTGGGAGAAACAGACGCAGTCATAGTGAGTGACATCCACAGCCACTGTGTCAAAGTCATCACTCGCAGCGGGAAAGTGATGGACACAATCACCGGCCCTCAGAGCCAGGAGCAGATCTACGGTCCAGTGTGCCTCACGACAGACACCGAAAACAACCTGTACATTCTCGACAAGGAAGGAAAGAAGTCTGTCTACCGTTTCAAGAATGGGGTCTTTGACAATGCGTTCACCAACAAGTTGCACAAGTCGTGCAAGGTCAACCAGCCGTGGGGTATGGCAGTGTTGGGTGACTCGATCTACATATCGGACTGGCAGAAGAGCTGCATCCACATCGTGCAGGCCAACGGGAAGCTCAAGGGTGTCCTGAACTGTGGGCAGCAGAGTCAGGCCGTCCTGAAACACCCGGTCGGGATTGCCACCACGTCTGACGGAGGGCTGGTGGTGGCGGACCATCACAGCCACTGCGTGTGGCGGGTGGTCCACACGAAAGACGTGGTGGAGTACCAACAGATTGGGTCGGACATTATCCTGGAGTCACCGTACGGAGTGGCTGTCACCCGGGAGGGGTACATTGTCGTGACAGACACTGGGACCTCGCAGGTGTGTCTGTTCTCCTCGGCGGGGGTCTTCCTTACCTACCTCGGGAAGAAGGGCAGCGGGGAGGGCGAATTTCTGACTCCACGGCATGTGTGCGTGACACCCCAGGGAGAGATTTTGATTGCCGACGAGGGCAACCAGCGCATACAAATATTTGAGCTATCCTGAACAAATAATGACGCAACCATGTAGCTGTGCATTCCCCCAGGCTTCATGCTATCAGTCACATACCGATTCATAATAGTCATTTTTATATATACACAATGATTCATGGAATTATGCTACTGAGTATATTAACATACTCAAAGGAAACTTTACACTATCAATGTGAAAGTGGCGGGCAGCATGACATGGGTAAACAATAGCTCTGTAGAAGGATATGGTCCTATGATTGCCATCGTTGAAGGCATACCTATACAATTGTGCAAAAACCATCCATTCATGTACGGCGTGACCTCCAGGAGACAAGTGTACACTATTGTGTCAGAGCTCTTCGTGTTTTTGTTTTGGCTCCCAGTCGCCTCGTCGGCCCTGTTTCTTCAGGGGCTCCCCGTGAGCCGCGAAGTGGAGCAGTCTCTTCTCTGTCGCCAGTTTCTCCACAATGGCGACGTACTCCTGTGGACAGGGGTATAAAATTAATACAATACCTCATGCATAAACACACACCTTTTGCTAGGTATTGTGTGCACACACTATACTTTTTCATGCCAAATTTTCACATCCAAAGATTGTAGGGTGGGCCCCAGCTCATTAAAGATGTTAGTTGTCCTCTGTATTATTACACATTGCCAAAAGGTATGCTCACTTCTCTGGGCACGAAGTCCTCCGACCGCAGCTTGTAATTGTTGGTGAAGTAGCGTATGTTATGCAACATGACCTCATCGCTGGGAGCCATGCTGAGGTAGGTGGCTGCACACTCTGCCGCCTTCAGCAGCTGCCCCACTGCATGAGGAGACAGATGAGAGAGGGGAGGGGGGGAGGAGATCAATGGGTAGAGTTTATAAGTCTGTACGCCATTACAATGAAGAATGGATGCTGAATTAGATGGGGATGAGGTTTTTGCCGGAAATTTGTTCAAAAGTGCGGTGCTTGTGTTGGGGAAGGAAAGAGGCAAGGAAATAAAAAGATGTCAGCACGTGTGGTGTATAGTCTGCGATGCTCACATTTATAGTAAGAAAACTGAAGGTAGTGGAAGTGATGAGGAAGATATTCGCCCAGCACCTCTCCCCTCACCCTTGCAACATCGTCGTGGCAACGCACCCTGCACTCTAGGAGCTCTCTCACGGCAAAGGTGAGGACAGAGTGATAGTCGAGTGTGTCGGGTGCCAGAGCGGGTTTGTAGTAATCAAGTATCTCCCTCATTCCGTCGCTCATGTCAGGTTCAGTGGTGTTCATGACCAGCATGTCCTCGCAGAGGAGAAGGCAGCGATCCAGGGCCTCTCGGTACAGCGGGAGGGATGACTCGATCAGGTCCACCGTCTCCAGGAAATTCTCCTGGTCGTAGGCCTTCAGACCTGCAGAGAGGCGGCCGCAGGTGGACCACACCCACTTAATGTTACACTCAATAACTATATAGAACAAATGGGTCACATTTTTGAAGAGCAGTTAAAGTAAGCAATTTCGTGCGTGCTTTGCACGTATGGTGTATGGGTATGGTATATGCAGGTGCCGGTTGGTGGGTTGTACGCTAAATATCATGCAAAATGCTGCATTCAGATGACTAAGCTACCTGCCAATTAGTTACCACAAACCAGCATAGATTATAACATTCCACACCACGGGAGGGTGGAAGACCTGCCTTTATCTATCACAGACGTGTGTAGTCACACACTACCAACATGGATCATCATTAAGGCTCCATCAAAAGTGTTTAAAAGCTATGCACTGAATGGCGGGGGAGTGCTGCTACATGCCACTGTTGTACAAACCTCAGGGGACAACAGAGCAATCTAGGAGGTTGACAAACACGTGTGTTTCCCAAGTCACGGACCTTTACAACCTCGTATAACAGTGTGCTGTGTGTATGTATGGAATCAGGTGTCAGTTGGTGGTTGTTTCGACCGAAACATACACTTTTGCTGCAACTAACACAGCATCAGCTGTGTACTTAAAACACCAACAGTCACTCAGTTCCGCATCTTTTTTCTCTTGGCATCACATGGTCTAATGCACTGGCAGGATATGGGTGCTTGCTGACTGCCCACTATCGGGGTTATGAGGTTACCGTGCAGGGACTTTGTGTGCTCTATCCCTGCATTTTCCACAATGATAATGCAGGGACAATGGAACGGACATCAAACCCATAGAGATCTCTTTTAGGGTGCTTAGTAGCTTCACTGGCAAAGAAGGAATCTATTACTGTGTGCACAAAACTGGGCCATTTGGCTCTTTGAGCGTGTATTGGGACAGAAGTTGCCCCATGAGCAGTGGACCGTCGAAACCCAGACCCTAATTGACATTTTGACTATCGAACCGTACAGACTGTGTGTTGGTATGGAGGCAATGGTGTGTGTCTGCTGGAAGGACAAGACATGATAAACCCAGAGGAAGGGGAAAAGGTCAGTCTTCTGGAAAAGTGTCATAATGTAGCCTTCACACACAGAGACACTGATATTCTGAACATGACATACAGAGCTGCAGAGATTTAGTGCTTGTGGACAGTCAGATGGTATGTACCATGCCTACTATATATTTGGGGGTCAAAGTGTCCTTTCCAAGTGAAGCCCTTCTCACACTTATTTCTCTTCCTTCTTTCTATGTGTAGTACAGTATGCGTGAGCTGTTGTTTTACATGCAAAGCATATTTAGGAGGACAAATGAAGAACTATGTATGTCCCCCTGGTGCGGCTCTGGTGTCACCCCTGCAATTCCCTGTAATTATTATACCGGTCGCGACTGACCCTCAAGGAAGAGGTCCTGATGTGGCTGTGTGGGCGGCTCCCTCCACACATACTCATCCGTCCCCATTCCAGGGTTTTGCGATAGAAGCGGTCGTTGCCAGGTATCAGGTCGCTGTTCATGTTGTGGAACATGAAGGTGAAGAAACACTTTGCTCCCTCCTTAAAGTCACCCAGCTGCAGGGACCAACACACATGTACATAATTATGTAGTAGAGTGGTTTGCCTCTTAATGCGCAGCGAGGGTACAGTAGTTGGGTCTGTCTGTTTGTTTGTCTGTTTGTCTGTTACTCTACATCTCACTCCTCGAACGTCTGTTCGTCCCAGAAACGATACCATCTACCCAACGGGTGACGAAGGTCAGAAAATAAAGGCGTCGTTGTCTCTGCAAAATGCTTCGTTGCAAAGCTTGAGCGCTTCCACATTGTACGGCTAATGCGTAGTCGGCCATTTTATCGGTGTTATCTTGAAGGCATAAGAAGTCACAAGAAGGGCGTGTGTGACTCCCGCATGCTATCTACTACTGTAGCTTGTCGTGTCAGACTCTCCGCGAGCTACTAGCGTGATACCACGGTTAAACGCATACTAAAAGCCAGCCATCAATTAGTGGTACCGCGGTGGTATTCGCGAGGGTTGCACTTCAGTGCTTTTCATTAAGTAGTAACCAATGTGATAGTTGGTGTGACCTCAAGAGAGAGGGGAAAGAGGAGGGAGGGGAGGAGAGATGTGCTATGAGAACATACACATATTTTCCGACTTTACTTTCTCCTCCCTGACAACCCCTTTCAATCACTCCTCGCTCTTTCAATGGCCCCCTCCCTCTTTCCTCTCCCCTCTCTCTATATACCTGGTAGTAGGCGAAGTGGAGGAAGGAGTAGGGGTCTCTGTTCTTGAGCCTGACCAGGATCTCGGGGTCTGGGTATCGCTGGTTGGGCGTCAGGGCCTCTGCCTTGCATTCCCGGACACACCTGGCCTTCGCGGCGTACGTGAGGAACTGGAGAAAGAGATGATCCTCAGTTCCTCCAGCGTATTTTTTCATTGTCTCCTTGTCTTTGTCTGATAGCTGTGGAGGGCCTGCAACAGTAGACATGATGTGTGTGGAGAAAAGGGGAGGGGGAATTCAAGCGGAAGGAAACATTTTGCAGCCTCCAAGCATGGTAAAACAGCTCCATGCCCATTTTGTAGCTACTACATATTTGGAGTTGCTATCCTTCGTTTTCTGTATTATGTTGACCAACGCAAGTGGCAAGGCCAAAGTCCTCACCATTCTGACTGCACTGCTGTAAACAGAGAAGGGTAGCATTCTGGTAGGCATCAAAGGCGCGAATGGCCTCCTCCAGTTGGTCAATGACAGTCTGCCATTCGTTGGTACGGTAGGCCTCCATCCCAGCCAGCCACAGGTCCTCAAGGCTCACGTCTTTCTGTAACTGGATTCCACCCTGGGACAGTATGTACACATGCTTTCAATCCCACAGGCAGCTACTACAGAGGAACACAGACACATGTGCATCTTTTAACTTGGCAAATTTTATAGCTGGAAATGTCGAGTGCCACTAAATCTGGCAGTTGGGGATTCTCAGCACTACAACCGCAAAACCACCAACATGTCAGGTACACTGGGACCAGCCCCAGGACCTTCAGCTTCCATACTGGGATAGCGGGGCATATTACGAGAGACAGTATGTACACAAGCTTTACTGTACATACTATAGGTTTTCATACTATAGGTCACTGATTTCAATACTGTACATAGGCCTCACCCTCTGTACTGTAGGCCTCACCCTCTCAATCTTGATGAGTCTGATGTAGAACACGAGGGTGGCATGGGGAGGGATGACGGCGCCCACTCCCGACGCCCCGTAGCCGAGGTGGGGAGGGATGGTTATCCTCCGTCTCTCCCAGAGACACGTGTCCACCAGTCCACGGTCCATGCCAGCTATGATCCTTCCTCGACCAAGTGCCACAATGTACGGTGAGTTGTAGTCAAAACTATGTATGGAGTTGGAGAGGGAGAAATATGATTTTCATCCAGAGATTTTCAGAAAGAAGGTTGCACAGTGCTTTCTATCTGAAGCCAAGGTTCAACTATAGAATATCTCTAAGCTTCTTCACATTTTTTACAAAATGCTCTCAGACTGAATAATTGTGGACCACGAGTATGGTCAAATAACGCATCTGATTAATGGTGCACTGACCTCTTTCCGAACTCTGTCCCGTTGTCAGTCTCCCGACATTAGTGATAGTGGACGACGTCACGTTCTGTGCTCTGACCTCGCACTGCCCAGGGACATACGTTCTCAGTACCTTCAGTCCTTCTCCCCACTCCTCCTCTGGAGGGTGGTGCATGGTTTCAGACCGGTCAACACACACACACACACACAGACTACTTAGCTATCTACTAGCTGAATCATGAATCATATCAACGGAGAGCTAACTGCTGACAATCTTACCAACTCCAACTATAGCCCCTGCAGCTGAGAGCAACAGGGCCACCAGCAGAGGCTGGCTACAACAAGGAACCGTCTTGCTTCCATGCTGCATGTGATGTGCAAGTTCATCAATTCTCTTCTTCTCACAAAAAGAATCGCGCGCGACCGCCCAGACGATGAGGACGGTCCCACGGCCGGCCGGGGAAGGTGGCGGAGTGGTGCAACGTGTCGGTTCGGGTGACGCTCGAGAGCTCCAAGTTGGCAGCGTAGTTTGTGCGTTTTTAATCACTTTGGATATCAAGGAGAGCTTTATACAGAGGCAGAAGACATGGATGGTGTTGCTAAAGCCAACAAGCTGGCGGAGGAAATGTCCAGGTAAGTTGAACGTCTTACGGCCTCACGTCGTACTTATGAATAAAGTGCGCACTAATTGGAACCATCCTCGGTATAGTTCCTAGGTTCGAGCAGGAGAATTGGGTGCATGCGGAGTCGGCACCAAAAGGCCCTTCCACCGGTCCTCCACTCAATCCCACACCAAAAAACCAGCATCTGCAACTTCCGCACAATTCTTCCCTCGGCCACCCAGACACCTGGATTTCTCTGGACCCCTGGACCCTCCCGGGCACCCCGCCACCCCGGACCCCTGGTCCCCCTCCTGGTTGTGCACAGGCAGGCTGGTCTCCCTCCCATGGTGGACCAAGACCTCCATGCCTCGAGACACCACCAGGACCCGCCGGGACCTCGGTTAGTCTGAAACAGCTACTGTCACTGTTTACTCCAAAATGCAAGTGTGTGTTCTGCTTAGAAGAACAGGGAGGGGTACACAATACGTACATTGATTGTGATGTTGTATACTATCTGCCTGTTTAGTATAAGACAATAGTAAGCTGTCACACAAAATGTATGCGGCGAAAACTCTCCTCAGTGAGCAGAGAGCAACAGGCGTTGTGTTTGTGTGTGTCAACAGTCTGTGTCTTACAGTTCAGATGACACTCGGTCCCGATGGGACCTCCTTCCAAACTGATGAATGGAACCACCTCCAGAAAGACCCCCTCTCCCCAGGGGGTGCATGCCCCGCAGATGAGGACCCCCATGTCTGCCATGCCCCCTCCCCATCCCCACATGTCTCAGCCTCCTCCTCCCCTCCTCATCGACTCCCCTACGCAACCGCCACATTGCAGAGGTGGTTTGCATATCACCCAGTGGAAAATGAATGAAAGTATTGCAAGGCGAATTACTGTAGTGGAAATTTTTTGCAGATTTTTGTGAATTTTAAGTCGACGTTTAACAAGAAATCTAACATCGTTTGGACGTTTATCCTAAGTAAGGTCCGCAAACAAGCATACAATAGTGCCATGGTACATACTTGTCGATGCTATCTACATACCAACATAAATGCACCTGCGCTCGCTCACCCAGATGTTACATTCTAGTAGTAGTAATAAATTAGACGTTTCATATATACCCCTTTTCCGTTTGCTAGCATCAGGGTTAATGGCACAGAGGCACTGCCCCCACCTCTAGCGCACTGACTGCTCCATTGTCGGCCCATCCTCTCATTTGGGGACCTCCTACAGCAGCACTTCAACCAGGCCGTCCTCCCCACCCCTCTATGCCTGTGCTTCCCCTCATCCTCCTCCAAATATGGTGCCTTCAGGAGTATGCAGGTACAACACACTGGTAAGGATCGTCAACCCTTGGTGTAGTTGTGCAGTGAGTGTCAAGTAAATTACTTAGTGTGGATGTGCTGTTGCACCTATTTGCCTTTATACATAAGGTCACCTGCGCTTCAGTGATAATTTAATTATTGTTGATAAATTTGTTATTATCATATGTTTGGCGAAAAACTTATGCGAAGATGGTGCTACCAGGTAACAGTTTTTTATTCATGTATATATGTGAAATATGTTGTCTGTGTTGTCCTATGTATGTATTAGTAAAGGTTACTCTTGTAAGGGGCGTGAGGGATTGGTGTCGTGGAGGCGGTCTGATCCCTGTGCCAAAAAAACCTCAAAGGGTATCAAGAGCGGACGTGGACCAAGCTAGTTGGGCGGCGGTTGTGGGTCTAGGGGTGGCAGGAACACTCTCCTGGAGACTGGACACAGTGAGTACAGGAACGGAGGGAAACACGACCCAGCGTCTCCACCGTTGTATATGAATCATGGTGTACATGGTAGATAGAAAACAGGGGAAAAACCAGTTATGTGTGCAGTAGTGATGGAAATGTGAGGCTAGCACCCCTGAAAGCTTAAACTTCACAGAAAAAAGAGCTGGGAAGACATAAATCTGGGTTTTCCCCCACTGGACTGGAGCATTAGTTTCGTGTGGGGCCTGCAGGTGGATGTTTTATGGGTGGGAAATTTGTCTGTCTCTATACCCAACGAGATAGGACCTGATGTAATGATGTATGCGTGTTACTGCTCATATGATTCAAGAATCATCGCAGTTTGCATCTCATCTAGATGAATTCATGGATATTTGTGGGGAGACCATGGTAAGATGGTGAACAGACGACCTTCCATGGCAAGGACCTTATCCATGCGTACACCATCATTCCATCAAGGCGAGGGGGTCATTAAGAGGACAGTGGACCAAAAGACCAAGGGATACGGATTTGTCCAGTTTCAAGACCGCACGAATTCATTACGGCCATTGAGAGTGAGAGAATGAACGGTCAGACAAATATCACAGGGGTTGATCAATAACAGGGCACGTTTTTGGGAGTGTTGTGAGTGTCTGACTGCTGAGTAGGGTAGAGGCCAGTGGTTAGAGCACTCCTGTGTATACCAAAATGCAGTGCCGACCAGATCACCGTAAAACTGCTTCGTACATCGGTTGTTTGTGGTTTTGATGAAAACTCCCATGGAATTCATTCAATACGGATTCTTTTATTGAGATTAAGTGTCAACGCCCAGGGGCACCTACATTAGGCTCTCTTCTGTACGTATCTCTATGTGTTGTTTTTTTCAACATATTTACAGGCACACACAGGGAGGTACATTGGGATAGGCCAAATGAGGTTTGCAAGAGTACGTGGAAGGACGGAACTTTTGGAGGTGAAGAAGAGGAGAGAGGACACAGAAGAGAATGGGGTTCAATGGTCTAGCCTTGTGAATTAATGGGTAGTATTTCTCTTCTTGGCTGATCTCCTCTGTCTCTTGCTCCCTCTCTCCCTTCTTTAATGGCATGCTGAATAATCACCAATGTTATCTAGTATTAATATTAACCCCACCGATTATGCGCAGGACATGTTATGTGGCAAATTAGTCTGTCAATCGCCGGCATTAAAAAATTTTGCATACAAGTGTACAGACATTCACGAACAAGTATTTGTACATCATACGAAAATATGCAATTAATGTGTTAACATGAAAATCACACATCAAAGATTTGAATGATCTGGTTGTGTTCGTTCGGACACTACGAGGTGGCCATTGTTGTTCGACACAACATGTGCTCTCGGGTAGTGGATGGAACATCCCAGGCTTCGTCCCCTTCCCACCGAACTGCAGATGAACTTCCGATGGGGGCAAATATGGACCGCGGTGTGTCCACTCTCGCTGACGGCAAATTCCAAGTTGTTTCTTGAGGACGGCAATACGTGGGGTAAGAGGAGTTCCCCATCTCCGTGCCGAGTTCACGATCCTATTGATGCGGCTTACCCTATGTCGAAATGACCCACACGCTAGGTTTCCGCGGTCGCAGTCACCAACAGGTTCCCGAAATTCAGGTCATAACACCAGACTTGCCGGGAACGTTAGGAAGCGTGTATTTCATGCTTGTTTCGTGATTTTTTTTTTTTTCTCCCCGATGGTGGTCATGTGAGTAGCCCCCGTCCTTCTGGTAGACCAACATTGGAACTTTTCCCAGTCAGTGACGAAGAGTCGGCCGTCGGGAGAGACGCCATGCGTTAGGGTGGCATGCTGGTTTACCCCACAGAAGCCTTCTGCCCAACTTGTCTGCAGGTGGACTTTCCTATTCGATCTGGTGAACTTTTGTACCCGGGGTCGGTCGTCCGAGCTCTGTCAAAAAGATGTGCTCTTCGCTGTCCATAACCAAACTGCACTGCGGCTCCTTGTAAAGTTGACGCTATGAGCGTCCCTCTCCCCAATTCTTCTCGATGGAGCAACCGGTTTTTTGGGTGCCACACGATAGGGGTCTCAAGCAGTGGTTGTAGACGTCTTGCACCACAAGGGGAGAGCCGGGATGGGGAGGCAGAGATCACCCCACACGGGTAATACTCTCTCGTCATTATCGGATGGGCCAGATGCTCGGCCGAGAAGATGATAGGGGTTCTTTGGGCCATAACGATCGGTCTCGAGAATTGATATCTGGTGGGGAAGTGTGCCTCATACGTTTGTTTATCGCTCGAGTCGAGGAAAGCCACGGTCCGTTGACTCATCGGAAATTTATCCTTCATTGTTGCCGTGGGTGGGGTCTCGGACCTTGGCACCTCTCTCACGGTCGTGAGCGATGTCTCACGGGGCGAGGGGGCTGGGATCGCCTGGCCCGACGTCAGAGCGGTGGCTGATGCGTTTGCAGACGCAGTAGTCCCTGCAGATGTGTGCGTCGGTGAAGGCGATGGCTATGGACTCCTAGCTAGGGGAGGGATTGGGTTGTTGATTGTTGTAAGCGTAACAACGCCATTGGTGGTGACCTAGGCTTGAGTTTAGGAGGAAGATTACACGAGGCCGGGGAAGAATCATAGTGGGGTAGTATTAGACAGTGGGTCTTGGTTGGGGTGAGAGGACGGAAGAGGTCCTCGCTGGAGCTGCTTGATTGAATGCTGTTTTCTGCAGGTTTGGTGGAGACCGGAGGGGGAGGTGCGGGGGAAAGGGGGCATTGGGGAAGTCGTATATCTCGCTGGCTTCTCTGCTCTGCAGCCCTCGACCAAGCTTGTTGGTAGTAAGAGTCCTTGGAGGAAAGGGGGAAGGATTCCAGAGGCGATGAATGTAGCAGCTTAAGCGGAACTGGCGTTTAGTGTCGTAAGACAATACGGTGTGTGTTGGAGCAGACTGGAGGAACATCATATGTGGCGTCATTAACTGCCGCCGAATTTGAAACGGGAGGCGCGGAACGTCGTAGAGGAGAGCCGGCAGAAATCTCGTTCTCGTAATATTTCCTGGTGTGGCAGTGGCGGTAGGCAGGTTGGTT